CACTTGCTTTAAAAATAACTTCATTCAAAGAATAATCGCCCTACTATTCTCCTAGGGGCTTTTTGTTTGAATGCGGAGACAGTACTTGTGAGCTGTTATCTGATAGAAGTTCAGAGGGAGACCATAATGATCAGACATGAACGCGTTTGGATTCTAGCCTGTGATACTGGTTTGCTGGCTCATTACAGGCAAGGTGAGGAGTCAAAGTTCCTGAGCTCCAGCTGCTGGAGGTGGGCATGGCACGCTCCTGTGGTGGTGGTGGTTGGGTGGCATGTAGCCCGGGCCTCAGGTGCCTTTCAGGAAGGATTATTTCCTGTCGGCATCACCCCAGAGCTTCTCGAATTCCCAGTGGTGCAGAAGATACAAGCGGCAAAGGAGCTGCATAGTGATCTTGTCATTTTGCAGCTAAGTGGTGATGATGGGGCAGAGTACGGATGGAGCCTCTGGCATAATATTGAGGGACAGGAACCTCATCTTTTAAGTCGACAAGCTGATCAGTGTTTAGTGAGCCCCCGAAGGGGGACAAAGTAAATTAAGGCAGTGATAACCTCCTGGGAGCCTTGTATTGTCTGTCTGAGCTGACTGGGACGGGGCAGCGAGAGGGTGGATAGCCTCCAGCAGCACTGGAGCTGAGATGCGAAGCAGACAAAACCACTGCTGTCCTCTGCTGAAGGAAGACCAGCAATAAAGAACCCTGTGGTATTTTTCTAAGCATGTATTCTAATGATTCCAGCATGTGCTCAGTTAATAGTCATCGTAGATGCAATTGGCCCTCAGTGAGCAAATAAATCCTGCAAGGCTTTTCTAAGTCACAAAACCTTCGTTAAATGTATCCTTGTCCTTTCAAATTGCCAAATATTTGCATGTATGCTAAAAAAAAAAAAAAATCAGTGTTTCCAGTTTTGGTAAACCTGTGGCTTCCAGGAGAGAAAAAGCAACGTTCTTGTAGGAGCAGTCTAAAAATGTGTGACAAACAGCCTGAAAAAAAAATCTTGTTGGGAGGTTTCAGTGATGGACGTTCACTGAGCGGACAAGTAAAGCAGCTGTAAAATGTTTTAGTTGTCAGTGCTGTCATCCCAGTGTTTCCCCATTTCTGTCTTTATCTGAATACTATCAGGGAACTAGAAGAAAATGAGTGCTTTGCTAACTTTGCAGGCGTAACTCCCCAGCAGTTGTGGGATTTAGAGGATGATCAGAAACCCACAAAGGTCCCAAACTCGCGTTGGCGAAAGCTTTTGGGGAAAAGCACAGGTTTGTTTTTTCCCTAAAACTGCTGAGGCTTCGTGACAGCCCCTTGTGATCCCACTGGTAGCTGCTAAAAACATGAGTAAAACACAGACACCCTTTGGGCTGCTATATATAGGAAACACTTGATCCCAGGGCACATCCAACCCAATCGGCTCCCCCTGAAATCAGCGGTGAGCCCATGTTAGCACCTGGCAGCACGGGGCGGTCCCCATACAGCTGAGCTGTGTTTGCAGGGTTTATTTTTAGGTGTGGGTGTGATTTGGTACTTAATGCTGCTGTGCGCGGCTCATAAATCTGTGCGAGCAGGGGCAGGCTTTGGGCAGTGCAACCGGAGAGCCTATAAATCCCCAGCAGTGAATTTAACAAAGTTAAATTCAGAGTGGTTACGGCACTGAAGCGAGGCAGCTCAGCTTATTTCTATAGAAGCCAGAATAGAAATTGTGCAGAACGTGCAGAGTTTTATAGAGCTTTGCAGTTTCTGCCTGATCTGCTCTGTCTGGAGGTGGCTGCAGCTCCAGAAGGGTTAAAAGTGTCTTGTGTCCCCAGGACGGCTGTGGTGGGGGGAGAGGCTGCGTTCTTCATTATCAGCACGTCCATTGTAACAGAAATAGAGCAAAAACATCAACGGATATAGAAGTTGCACATCTGTGCATGATGTTAGCACGGCGGCTACCTCATATGCTGAAGTACTTGAACAGCAATTTGGGGGAAAAAAAAATAATGAAGTAGAGAAACTTTCCTAATCTTTGGCCTATGAGCCCCAGTGCAGCCCAACCAGCTGTGCTTTGGGTGTGTGTTCAGTTCAGCTCCTTCTGCTGTTTTCTTAATATTTTCTGCAATGCAAATCGATCCTGCAAATACTTAGGCAAATGCAGTAGTCCAGAGTGCTGTTATCTGAGGGGCATGTTTGTGGGACTGGGGACAAAGGTCCTGTTTAACCTCAGTTCTGATGCCTCTGAAAAATAGGGCTTTGTGACATTTCTTAATTGTAAGAACATTTTGGCTTATTTTCCTGTACTTTCAGTCACAAAGTGGCCGGATGCTCTGTCAGGCCCACTGCTTGCAGTGCACCTGGTTGCAGTGTTCCGTAGCAAAGCAAGTGCAACTTCCAGCATCCTGCTGGGAAGTGAGCACTGCATGTAGGAAACCCCACCGGCAAGGAGCTGCGAGCCCCCACACAGCCCACAAGCTGGGGGAGTCCCAAGCAGCCAACAGGTTCGCCCTGCAGAATGAGACGTCCGAGGCAGATGGTTTTGCTGTGGTTAACGTGGTTGTTTCTGTAGGCTGAGCATCTTCAGTGGTATGAACTGAAGCTGTGGTTGGCATCATTTGTCTCAGAAATGTACGTCAGATGGTTCTTCTAGGCGTTTGCAGATTAACCAGCGTATTTCCATACCTGTGCTATTGATTGTGCCAATCATACAGAGTGCAAAAGGCAGCTTTTTGCTGAGATTGCAAGAAGACAGGTAATGTGAGCAAACATGATGTGAAAAATTTGTCTCTAGTATGCATGCACGTCCTGAGGGCACAGGATAGTTAACAATGAGCTGTCTCACAAAAACAGCCTGAAAAGTCGCAAGTCTGAAAGAAACTGCATTTAAAGAACCTTTTCTTTTTCCTTTCCACTTCCAAGCCATCCACTCAGAGATTATTAATGTAAGTTAATAGTCCCCCTGTGCTTTGTCTACCTGAGGGAGCTGTAACAAGAGCCAGGCTGGAGCAGGAAATGTACAATAAATCCCATTTTTATGACTCTGGAAGTCAATGACTTTATGGTTTTAGTAACAGCCATGGAAGAAGTATTGTAGGGTTTGGGGCACGGTGGTTTTTGGGTGGTTTGTTTTTGTTTTGTTTTGTTTTTCCCCAGGGCAGTGTATTTAAGTAAATTAACCGGTAAGAACCCTGAGATTGCTACGGAAAGTCTCAGGAAAGTGAAAACCTGCTCTGAAGAAGTATTCTCAGCTGTTTTTATGAACAAATGCAGGTTGGGGCATGTTCCTTTTCTAGCTGCCATGTGCAGGAGCATGGCCTGAAACAACCCGTGTGCTTCATACCCACGAGGACCCAGGCCCTCAGCACCTTGTCTGCTGCTCCCAGGCTGCTGTAGGGCCTGGGGACCGTGTGAGCAGTGTTGTGGCAGAGGATTCAGCATCACCCAGTGCTCACAGCTGCTGCTTTTGCTTCTTATTCCTCTTGTTTTTCTGACTCTCGTGGGAGAATAAGAAGCAGAGGGGAAAAAATAGGCACTGGGCAAAGTAAGATGAATGGCTGAATAGATTAATCCTTGTAGCCTGGGAGCAGTTCCTTACTCTGCTCCTTCTGGTGCACCGGCAAAGATGTTAGTCCCTTTCCGTGTCCTCTGCAGCACTCCCTGTGCCATTACATGGACATACCCAAATGGAGTTAGCTGTGCTAGCAACTCCGTTATCAAACCTCTGCCAGCTGAAATCCATCTTCCTGCTTTGGCAATTCCACTGATTTATTGTTTTCGCTTCTTTTAGAGGGTTTATACAAGTGTACTGAGGGCAGCTTGGCCTTGAGATGTGCTTTGTGCTATGCTGGATTACCAGGGTTCTGGCGGGATGCCGTAGCAATAACAAATTTTGTCCTTCTTCGGCATATGAACTTCTCCAGGAGCAAATCCTCACCTGCAGACTGTTTTGTTCTAGGAAGTGACTTAGTGTGATATTACTGCTGTATTATTATTATTCCTTAACATTACGGGTCTGCACGGGTCAAAGCTCACCAGGAACCCCCGGGCATGTTTTCATCACTAGGTTAGTGTTGATTGTCAACCACACTGAGCTCGTGTGGTAGTAACAGGGCTGCTCCTGTTAGACGGACCCATTTTCAGGATGTATCTCTGCTACCCATGATGAGGGAGCACGTTGTTGTCACCAGAGAGGTGTGGCATAGTGCTTGGTGCAAGCTATGTTCCTTTTTAACAGGAGAAGAGGAAGGGCAGAGCAGCAGCACCCAAAGCAAAGCCGCTTTCCTGCCTTTTTTGATGTCAAAGTGCTCAGCATCCACCAGCTCTCTGGCAGATGTTGTAGTTGATGTGAAGAGAGGGCTGTGTCTAGGAGTGAACTGGCTGTTATTGTGAGCTCCTGTTATATATGCTGAGCGTCAGTCTGTTCCTGCATTTGTGGTGCTGCCGTTGTTGGTGTTGTTCCTTCCTTGTCCGTCCTTGACAAGTGCTACTGGGACCACGGCTTTCCTCGTGCAGGCAGGCATTTGTTTGGAGCTTTGAATGCAAGCGTCGGTAACGGCGATAGGAATTCTACGTTTTGATTTTCTGAAGTAAAACCTTAAAAGTGTTCTTTGAGGACTCCTCCAAGGACAAGTACTGTGAAGGAAAACTCTTCGGAGACAAAGCACAGGAAACATGCTTTGCTTCTAAACTCTGTTTTGCACGCACGCTAACAGGTGACGCGAAGCCAAACGCTGAGAATCGCACGCCGTCCGAAAGAAGCCGGGGCTCCCGGCCGCCAGGTGCGCTCCCCGCCGGCTGCGGGACGCACGGCGCTTCCTCTCGGACCGCGCTCTGCGAGGGGCCGCCCTCGGGCACGAGCAGCGCGGCCCCGCCGCCTTCCCCGCTCCCCGCCCGGCCCCTTTGTTCCGCCCGGCCCGGCCCCGGCCGCGACCCCTCCCTGCCCGCCCGCCCGCCCGGGGGCGGTGCCGGGGTCGGGCCGAGGCGCGGAGCGGAGCGGCGGGCGCGGCGCTCGGCCCCTGAGCTCGGGGCCGTCGGCGGCATGTGGCGGGGGCTGCCGGCGCTGGCCCTGGCCGCGCTGCTGCTGCTGGGGCGGGCGCCGGCGGGGCGGGCGGCGGCCTGCGAGCCGGTGCGCATCCCGCTATGCAAGCCGCTGCCCTGGAACATGACCAAGATGCCGAACCACCTGCACCACAGCACGCAGGCCAACGCCGTGCTGGCCATGGAGCAGTTCGAGGGGCTGCTGGGCACCAACTGCAGCCCGGACCTGCTCTTCTTCCTGTGCGCCATGTACGCGCCCATCTGCACCATCGACTTCCAGCACGAGCCCATCAAGCCCTGCAAGTCCGTCTGCGAGCGCGCCCGCGCCGGCTGCGAGCCCGTCCTCATCCGCTACCGCCACGCGTGGCCCGAGAGCCTGGCCTGCGACGAGCTGCCGCTCTACGACCGCGGCGTCTGCATCTCCCCCGAGGCCATCGTCACCGCCGAGGGCGCCGGTGAGTGCGCGCCGTCGGGCCGGGGCCGCCCGCACAAAGCCCGGCTCCCGGCGGCTTCTCCTTTTCTCTCCTCTCCGCGGTCCCGTCCCGTGCCGCGGTGGCTCTGCCGCTCGGGGGAGCCCCGAGGTGACGCCTCCCGCGGGGCAAAGGCAGCGGCTTCGCCGGGCGGCTGCGGGAGCGCTCCGTGGTGGCTGCGCGCCGCTCCGTGCCTTGTGCTCGGCTCCCCGCCCGGCCGGGGGCTGCGGCGCTCGGCGGTGCCGGTGAGAGGCGCCCCGCGGAAATGTTAACTTGCGGTAGCGGCGGAACTGGAAGTTAGAGCGGGGCGGTGGGTGGCTGTGTCGAGCGAGATTGGACCCGTACGAAAACGGTGATGTTCTGAGCCGGAGGCGGCCCCGCAGCTGCCCCGCGTTCCGCCTGTAGCTGAACCAAGTCCGCTGCACTGAGCCCTGTCCGATTCTCGAGCTGCGACGTAGCTCTTGCTGCCGTGCTCCGGTGCCTCCGACTGCTGTAGTTATTCTCTGGCCGCCCTGCTCTCACCTGTCCTTCCCCCCACGCAGTGTGCTGGGGATGCCTTGCTGCTGCCTTGTAAGGGCTGCCGACCTGCCGGGCTCTTCAACCCCGAGCGCCTTTCTCGGGGGTGTCGAGGTGCTCTCAGAACTGCCTTAAAAATGGACCCAGACCCAGGGAGGCTTGGCAAGCCTGCAGCGATTTGAAAGCAATCGCATTCAAATCTGGAGGGAGGAAGTTTGGCTAAAATTGCCCCCGAGTTACCTATTTCTGAGGACCTCAGCAGTACAATGACCTCTTTGAGGGATTCCAGTGCCGGATCCATGAACACTCTCTTTCAGTGAATGAGAACCTGATGACATTCTCATTTCTGGGCTGAAAATGTTGAACCGATGCATTATGTACCAGACTGAAAGAATCCTTCTTGAGGGAATGAAAATGCTCCTTTAGAGAGCAGAAGGAAAGATTTCTGTTTGAGGAAGAGGTAAGGTGAACACTTGCAAATTCAATTCTCCAAATGGAGCATCGCAGCCAAGCGGGAGACACAGAGAGCAAGCTGCTCAATGGCTTGAGTACAAAATGCTGCTCTTGCTTTATCTCCTGAGCACTCGCAGACCTCACGCTGTTTGCAAACAACAGCTAATAGAGTAGGTGGAACTATAAACCCATTTGTTATGGGCTTTAATTGTAGAAGGAGGTGCTTTTATCTTTCAGAAGTCCAGTCTTGATTTTTCATTTTTCCGAAGGGGCGTGCTACCTGCAGAGTAAGACTTCTTAATGGTTTTCTGTCCTCCCAAGGTCTCCGTGTCATTGCTGGCGAGGATTGGTGTGTCTGCCTGATCCTTTTGGTAAGGTGGCAGCCTGAAGGGCAGCAGACTCAGAGGGCTTTTGTGGTTGGAACAGAGGTGGAGGTGAGGAAGCTCCATTTCCACTCCTTGTCCAATACCAGACTGAGACTTGGATGGGCAAGGTGCTCCTCTGACCTTCAGGGCACACCTTGCTAGAATTCCCTCTCACTGTCACATCTTGGCTCTCAGGAGAATGATGCTAAGTTGAAGATGAATTGAAGTTCACTTGATATTTTTCTTTTGACGTCGCAGTAACGATGGTAAGATTCCCTGTCAGTTGTCCTCCCCTTGCCTGCTGGACCCGGGCTGTTGCTGAGGAGAAGCTGTGGTTGGCAGAAGCTGTGGCAAATCCTAGAGAAAAGTTCTCTGTTATTGAGCTGAGGGCTACACATCCTGTGTGAGTGCCTCCTGAGACTTCTTTCTATCTGCAACACCAGTTGAAGGGCCTGTTTAGGGGCTCATGTTGAAGATGTGAAGTAAGCATTGTTATGTCCATGATGGAGAAGGCTGCTGAGGATAGTGCGAGTGCTTTGTTCGGGGCTCAGTTAGAGCAGAGCTGTGCAGCTGGAGTTAAGAGGCAGTGAACCCCTGAGCTTGAGCAGGGCTGCAGATCTGAGGGCCACCTTCAAGCCAGCATTCCATGGGAAATGTATCACGTCTTTAATTTTGCACTCAATGAGTCACCAAAATGGCTACGTTAATTGCTGATGCTGAGATGCACATACATGTAGGCCTGTGTGCTCACTCTGGTTATGTCTCTGGTGATGCATTCTTTTCCAGTTTTGAAGAGGGAACCAGAGGACAGATCCGTTAGCTGAATTTCTGGCTCTGCAGATGTTAAGATCACAGTGAAGTGTGGGCATGGTTGAAAAAACAGGAAAAACTCTGTATCTTGTTGCTTACCCAGCAGCAGGTGTAGGAGTGACTTCATGTTCCTGGATGTTTCCTTTGGGAACTTTTGAGTGGTGCCTTGGTAGAGACAGTCACATCTCACCATACCTTATTTTCTTAGATGTTTGGTCACTTCCAAGCAGCAATATTTACTCTCTGATTTAATTTGTATCCTCTGTAGATAATCCAGATGCATCAGAGTACGTGGTTGCGCGTACGTGAAGCTCATGCATCTGACTCCCTAGGAGCTGCTGCAACTCTTCCTGCTCCTGTCACAAGTTGCTCTGTGACCAGTTCTAAGTGCTGATGGATTTCAGTATTACACAAAGTGACCTCTCTGCTGCACCAAACCACCTGCTCGTCACTGCACATGCTTTATCCCTTTGGCACAGAGTAGGAGCACTCCATATTATAAGTTGACATAAAAATGGTTTGAAGGCATATCAGGCTATTAGTGAGATGCTGGAGAAAAGGGAGATGTCACAAAGATATACAACAAATGTCGGAACCATTTTGACTGATTACCATAAAACAGTGGATTAGAATTCTGCCTCTTTTTAGAAATATAATCCCTTAAACATTAAAGGACATGAAATACGATTTAATTGATTGGAGACGTGTTCTTAGATCTGAAATGAAGCTGCAGTTTCTATATGTAGTCCAAGTCCTCCACATCTGCTGTGCTGAGATGAAGTTTTTGTACCCCAGTACTTGATTTTGGTACTGTGCATCTAAAAGCGAAATAGCAGGTCCCCCTGCTCCTTTTTTCACATGTTGTTAGCTTTCTGAATCAGTGGTTTCCAAACTCAAGATCAAATTTGCTCCGGCTCTTGCTTTGCTTGTGTTTGCTTATGGCAGTCCAAACACACAAAGGAGGTCGGGGGAATGGTCAGGGCAGTGCAGAGGATGAGCAATTATGCCCATCTTAAAAGTTGAGATTTGTTTTAGTTGTTTGCTCAAAACTGCAGGCAGTCTCATTTCTTAAAGAACAAAAAAATTGCATGTTGTGAGCTTTGAAAAAGACCATATTGATGATAACACCACTGGTCACTTTGAGTCCATTTTTACTTCAGTTTATTTGCCTTTGGAGACCTGAATTCCCCAGGATGGCTTTCTTTTTTAATTTTATTTTCATTATGTGATCAGATAAGATACATAAGATGTATGCACAAGATTAAGTTTTACTCAATTGCTGCTGTTTCCCAAAGCTCTCATCAAATCTGTGGTCCAGGAATTGTTTTGGGCACTTACTATGCAAGTGGCTTTTACTATCTTTGTTAGCTTTTTCTTTTTTTGGTTTTTTTTTTTAAATAGCACCCCTCTGAAAAAAGATTAGTTCAAACAGCTCATTGGAAAAATTAGCTTGGAGTTTTCCCCCTCACTCTTAACCAAAATTTAATAGGAAGCCTTTGAATCGAAGCTCTGGGTAATATTTCCTCTTTGGCAATCCTGCTAATCATCACTGACAGTTATTTCTTTCAAAAGATTGTTTTGCATAGACAAAACTTGGCAAAGAGGTCTTCTCAGAAGAGGACTAGAACAATAGCAAGTCAGCTGCTTATTTTTTAAAGTAGCTGCCTTTTTTTTTTTTTCCATCTGCCTGGAGGTCTAAGCAGCGTGTGGATAAGCCTGATGGAGAGGTCCTGTCTTCTGAGACAGTTGGGGTCAGGGGCTGCCATATCATGGTTGCTTGTGCCTATCTAAGCTGGTGGCTGATGGTAGGGCTGGCCAAGACCACCTTTCTTGTCCCTTCCCTGGTAGATGGGAAGGGACCGAGTGGTATGAGCCTTGTGTGGTTGTTGGCCACAGAAGAAGTGTTGGAAGCCTTTTCCCAGACAAGCTGCACAGTGGTGAAGTCAACAGTTGCTTCTATAAGCCTACACTTCTCTCTCTCTAGAAACTGCTCATCTCTTAACATATGCAAGGGCCCTGAGAAAGATGAACATCACTTTAAAGTCAAAACTTGCCTGTCCCAAGACCTCAAAAGTAAGATTAATCATGATTCTATGATTCTATGAAGTGGCACGGTGTTACCTGTTTACTCCTCCATCATTCATCAACAAGCACTATGCACTGAACACAAATGCAGAGCACAATATATTGCACACCTCAGCCTGAACTCAGAGAAATTGCACTAATGGACATGAATAGCTTCTCTGCACACAGCTGAATCGCTCTCCTGTTGCACAGCAGCTGTTATGTCACATACCCAACAACTGGTAACAACTGGCTTGGAGGTTGGATGAGTGGCCTGGCAAATGAAATAGGTTTTGTAAAGAAAAAAACCCTCAAAACAATTGAGTTGTGTACCTGGAAGTGGAAGAGAACATCTGGTGGGAAACAGTTGGCTTTGGTGTTTGTTTGCAGTGGCAGGTATATATTATGCATGTTGAGTGTTTATCACCCTTGCTGCATCGGTGTTCGTTTGAGGATGGTTCTTCAGCCAGTACAAATGAGTCTTGTACTGGTAAGTGCAGTTGGGGATGTCTGGGGCTCTCTATTTACAGAATCTGTGATTCACTGATAGCCCCTGCTCTTAAAATGCAGTCCACACATCTAAGTTCTTCAGCTACGCCAAGTGTCATCCTAGGCTGTACTGTAATACCAACATTGCTGTATCCAAGATCCCATAAGGGTACAAGAAAGACTATGTATGATACCAGCTTTGACATCTGGAAAAGGTGAAGAAACCTTTAGCCAGGCCCACTTAAAGAAGAGGATTTTATTTAGAGCCTATTTATTTTCCCATCTTATTTTTCCTTCTAATTAAGTGTGCTTATCTCTCTTCCTAGTCTTGTTTCTCATGTGTCTTTTTTCCTCCTTACGCTGTGCAAGACTACATGCATTAACATAGACATCTGTTGTTATCAAATATATTTATAAACCCATTAAATTATGTGATTTAATAAAAATTAGATTTAAAATTTGAAATGTGAGGCACATTCCACAGACCAACGTGTCTGAAAGCAGTTCTTTGGAAGTTTGTCACAATGGTGTTTTTTTTTTCCCCCTTCTATTCTTTATCCATCCTTCAAAATAATCAGCATGTTCTTCAACATGCTGAGGAATAGGGGTGGATCTGAAACGTTGGTTTGGCATGATATGATTGTGGTCGGTTTGATTTCCTCAGTAACTGAAAAAAGCAAACCAAAAGTAATTTCTCCTTCATCATCTTATTAAATGCAAACTCTATATGTAATTTTTAAATTTGGCAAATTCATGCCACAGATTCCCATCCTTGTCCTAAACCTGCCAGTCTTTGCACCACTGGGAGCGGGCTGTTTAATGTGGTTCAGCATGTGACATCATGTGCTCTGTGAGGGCGAAGCTCAGGTAAGAATCGATCGCAACTCTGGCAGAAACAGGGAGGCTTCTGCATCTTTACAATCTGCTTATTTGTTGAGTTTTACTACATTAAATATCAGAGAAAGATAAAATGTCATATGTGTATGTGTTGAAATAATGCAATGCTGAAAGTGCTAACATTTTTTTAATGAATCCGTGCCAGATTTCCCAATGGATTCCAATAATGGCAACTGTAGAGGCACCGGCATTGGTGAGTACATTTTTCTAAAACTAAATAACAAGCTGTATGAGCACATCCCTTTGATACTTAATAAAGAGCAGCACTGATTGATGCTTAGATATTCTGCCCTGTCTTGAGATCCTGTAGTTTGTGCTTTTGATTTGTGCTTACAGCTGTTGTGGAAAGGTGGGATTTGGGGCTGCAAAGACTGTGTACTTCTGATCAAATCACTTGTGCAATTCAAGTCGGGGGGCCTGTGCTGATTTCACTACAAGTTTTGTCTTGAACACTGAGAATGATCATTATGTGGGGTTCCCTCCCTACTGCCTCCCTACTACCAAAAATGCCATTTTCTCTCCAGTGCATCCAGTTGTTTTTCCATGCAGAACTGAAAATGCAGGGAGGAGAATAATACTGTAGTTGTTGGCAGATTTTTGCTAGCATACTGCTATGAGCTTTGATTTGACTGAGAAATGCTTACTGAAGTGATGAGAAAGAAAATCCCAGGTCTGCGAACTGCCAAGCAACACAGTTGGGATTGAATGCACCAAAATGAGTTTCTATAAACTTATAAATACCATTGTCGTAAGTTGCAAGGAGAGCAGAAGTGAAGTTGCAGGTGTTCACAGTCACGTGCTGCAGGAGCAAAGTGAAAAGCAGTCACACATGTAATGTTCTCGATGTTGTGTGTTTTAGCCAAAGGGGGCTGGATTCAGGCAGACTGTTTCACATTCAGAAGGAAAGGAAAATTATTTCACTTTGTAGCACGTTGGTGAGTACACCAACTCTCTCAGTTGTTGGGAGTAAGAACACTGAGGATTGTGCTTTACTACGACTCTCAGATTTTCAAATTAAATTCCAGCTTCTCTGCAGATAATGGTAAAACTCAGGCTAACCTGAGGAAACGAAGCTGAGACCTTGTGAGACTGTTTTTATTCCAGCGAGCCTCCCACTGTTTTTACTTTACTGATTGGTTTTGTTTTCACTGAATGGAGTGAAATCAACCTCATGAGTGTCACCACAATTCACAGGCAGTGCGAAGAAAAGCAAAGCCCAGTTTGGTAGCTGGCATTATAGAAAGGTGAATTTGTTGCTTGAGCAAGCCAACTATAAGTTTTCTTCTCTAGCTACAGTACATGCTGATGTCCAGTTTGCTAATGTAACCACCTAAATACGATTGAGCAATGCAGAATTAGATACCAAGTTTTGCTAACTTCAGCATTGATCTTCAGTTACATTATATGAAAAATGTTAGATGTATCTTCAGAACTGCTTGCCCTTAGGGATGTGGAATTGAAAAATTGCATCCAAAAGAGAGTGAGGATGAATAGAAAAGGTACTGGTGAAGAAGAAGGGTAATATCTTTATCACTAGCTTTTTTACTGTTGGAACACAGTTTGTGGTTCAGTGCACCACACCCATTTCAGCTGACTTTTCTGTCTCTTGGAAGTAAGCTAGATATTTGTATGCTCCATGACATGCTATTCAGGCCACTTAGAAAATTTTCCAGGCTTCTTTATCCGCAACTTAAAATGGAAGCATCTGCCAGGCCTGAGCATTTGCTTAGACTGTGCATGCACAAGTATTTAAGATGACATGTTTCTAGGCAGTGATTATAGCAGAAAACCTTCCCTGTAGTTCTTAATTTTGGTAATTTACAGGGAGAAGTTTCCCATGGAATAGATGTTGAGCATATGTTGGTATTATGTTGATATGCTTTAAAAAAGAATTTTTAATGGCAAAGTCAGCAGAGATCTCAGTCCTGGTTGCTGTGAGCATCTGCTGTCTGTCTTGGTGCTTAGGCCATAATGGAGTTGTGGTCTCTGAGCTCTTCTGGCAGCATTAGAGGTGGATCAGTCAGGTCAGATGAGATTTCCCCTTAGAATTAACAGTCAGTGAATTTTTACAATGCATTTTTTCTTGCAGCCACCTTTTGTGGATGTTCCCCTTTGCTGGGGAACGCTCAGAAACATGCATCAGATAAAATCATGTTTTCTAATACTTGCACAATGTTCCCTTTGAAAGCCTCCATAACAGGTGATGAGAGAGATGAGTTGCTCATCACTCTGCATCTGGCTTTAGAACTGACGCTGGCAATGCCACTTGTGCCACTTTCTGTATTCCTAAGTAGTAATTAGAAATAATGCATCGTTATGTAAATTTCTGTGATACATAAATTTGAAGAACACAAGAACAACTAGAAAGTACCTTCATCAGGGATGTGTGCAGGTCTGTCCATTAGTTCTAGAGCAAGTAATAAAAGATACTCCCCTTTTTTTTTTCCAATAGGGAAATATAAGACTATATATTTTTGTCCCTTCATTTAGACTGTTTTTGTGGGTTTTTTTTCCTACTTATGTCACAGAGAAAGGAACTGTAGAGCAGGAGAATGTTAAAATGTAAAACTTGTTGAATATGAATGCCAAGATGCCTGCATGAGTGCGGGTCAGAGCAGCACGTCTTTTATGGCGTGTTGCGAGGCAGCTTATAAAATGGGCCATAATTTGGTCTAAAGTATGCATGAGCTCCCACAGGCAGAAGGGAAGCCAAAAATCACTTCCCTTCTCAGCCTTTATTATTTTAACACAGTTCCATACAAAAGCCTAAGTCTGTAGGATACTATATATAGGTTCCTGAGGACATGTTTGAAATCCAAGGAAACAATATCCTCTTCTTTGGAGATGTTCTCCTCTTTCCTGTATTTTTTTTTTAATTTTCAACTACAAAAATCCTTGCAGTCCAGGATAAATGATAAATTTGAGAAGTCTATAACCATCTTTTTATTTAATGCAGAAACCTTAAAAAGAAAATAGAAGTTGTTTCCCAAACTCTTCACAGTGGATTTAATGAAATAACTGGCTGCATGCATCATTATTTTAGAACAGTGGTGCACAGAAATAGGCTGTGTTAAGTCTTCTTTCACTTAAATGCTGAGTGAAATGCAGCCAGCGGGCAAGACTGGATATTTAGGACACTGAGTATGAATGAGGACACCTGAGTTGTACTTGCAGCTCACCTACTCTCCTCTGAATTACATTTTACTTCCAGTGGTACATTAGAGTAGATAACCACATGCACATGATACTGGGACCTGTGGTTGGAGAGGGGTGAGGCAGTGGGCTTGGGGGCAATTTACCAGTTCAATGATTGTGACAGAGCCCACCAAGCTCTACTAGTAACAAATAAAATAAAATAAAATAAAATAAAATAAAATAAAATAAAATAAAATAAAATAAAATGGATATTTGCATTAGAATAATTGGCAGTGAAATACTGTTAAAGTTAATGAAAATATGGGTCTGGGGCTTCAGCATTAGCACTTCCGAGGCTCTAATGAAAATGCTGTTACATGCAGTACTGTTCCTGGCTGTCTGGAACACTGCTGGATGTGCTGCTCTTCAGCACTCGTTCATATTGTGTTTTGAAGGTCGTCCTACCGGAAGAGCTAATAATTTCCCATTTTTAATTATACCTAGGGTTCTGGATCACAAACCCAAGTGACAGCAGCCTAACTTTGTTGTTAGGTGTGTCCAAAGCACAGGGCTTCAGTTGTACTCTGGGCTGAGGACACATGGTGTGGATAGATCAGAGGGCTGATCATGGCAGCCTCTCTGCATTATTTTTTCCAAGTTAGAGAGCAAGCGCGCTGGTGGAACCATGGTGGGATCTAGGCAACATTGCCAAGAAACTGCTGAGCTTTCCTCCTTAGAAAGTGCAGGCTGCAAGCATCTGCTGAGTTTTGTACTCAATGAAGTGGTTGTTGCCACAGACCAGAGGTTCTCAGCAGCTGGCTCTGCTGTATGCTGGTCAATAACTTCATTCCCTCTGGCTCTCCCAGTTTTCAGTCCCACAGTCTGTAATGTGGACTCATGAGTAACTCCTTGTTTTAGTTACACCTATGCAGTCATTTGTTACTGGAGGAATTTTTAGTCCTCTATAATTTCTTAAGGGAGTAGTCAACACTTGAGCGCTACCCCTCCTTAAGTTGTTTCAAGTAAAATTAGCTGGGAAAATAATATCTAGCTGAGAATTAGCTGAGAAAGTAATGTGTCTGTGGCAAAAGAGCCTGGCTTCTTGCCTTTATCCCTTCCTGCTACGTGGCTTTTACCATAACAGTGAAATCCAGTCCCAGTGTTAGGTGGGTTTTTTGCAAATCCTGAATGAGCACTGAATAAATTCAGCGGCGGGAAATTCTTGTTAGGTGTGATTTTGGGGTTTTGGGGAGGTTATCACTGAATGCAGGCTGTTTTCTTTCTAAATAAAAATTTCTGTTTTGTAGAACGCTGCAAATGCAAACCCATAAAAGCTACCCAGAAGACCTATCTACGCAACAATTATAACTATGGTAAGGACAGCTGCATGGCCAGCTCCCAATCACTTTAGGAGATCACTGTTTATAAGGCTACAGTCAGAGAGTTAAATAGGACTGGGAAAAATGTCACAAAAATAGCCTATGGTTTCAATTACTGATGGTTAATCCAGTAGGACTTATTACAGAAGATGTGGCCTGAAACTTTTCCAAATTCAAAACGGAGAGTGTTTATAGAAGGATAGAGGGGATTAGCCTAATATGTTAGTACAAGAGTGTCTTTGTTGACGTTGAGTGCTAGTTATTCCAGTGTCAGCATGGGCATTTGGGATTCGTGCACTTCTTTAGTGTGAAAAGTCATTTGTTAAAAATGACACCGTGGGCTCCTATGCTTGAAATTCCTTTTGGATTTACAGCTTTGATACATTCTGATTTCGTAGAAGGGGATGTTTTTGCTGATTTTCATGCCTAAAATCTCACCGTGGCATCTAACAGGCATACTAGGCTTTTGCCTTCTTGTGCTTTGCAGCCAGCAATGAATGACTTTTTGACTGTTAGTTTGTCAGTACAACCTTTAAAAGTGCTCTACGTCCTCTACTGCCCAAATGGCCCTGGTCTTCTAGCGTATCAGGTCCACTATAACTTTTCATAGGCTATAAGAAATTAGGAAGCTGAGGAGTTTATTATGTGTAATGGAAAGGATGTCGTTTGCAAGCTGTGAAAGATGTGGTATTCTCTAGAGTGTGACCACTGGATTTGCTTTGCATTTAGTTCAGTGGTCACTGTGAGAGAGCCAAATATCTGTTGCCTTTGAAAGGCAACTTTCCCTCCTATGCAACTTATGGCAAAAAGAAAGAGCAAGGAAAGAAACAATTAAACAGGTCACCAGGTCAAGATCAGGAGTATTTGGTGTTCATAAGGAACAGAGCAGATTGGTGCTGGGTCAGTGGAGAGAGGATGAAAAAGGTAAGGGCCTGTCATCCAATAGAGACAGTGATACAATAAGCTTTGATGCATATTCATGTCTCATGAAAAGATAAGCGTGACAAATTCAGTTTAGACATCTGTAGTGCAAGCAGTCAAATAGAGAGCAGCACATGAGGCAGGAGAACATACAAAGAATGAATTGAATACATGAGGTGGGAAGAGCAAAGAGAAGGAGATACTAAAAATCAAGCCCAAATGTAACGAAACACCCTTGCATCTGGTATGTAATTCCTGCTGGTGACTCATTGTGTTTTGAAATATACTGAGCTGTCTGCAGCCTCTTGCTGGAGGATGAAGTAGTGAAGAGCTGGGGGCAGGGGAGTTACAGAGTCCAGCTGAGCTTCTGATAACAGACCGTACAAAAGACTAATCCTAGAGGTCATCAAGAATGGCCCCGGGGCGACCTGTATTATCTGCTGCCCTTAGCTGTACTTTTTGCTACTTCTTCCTAGTCATTCGGGCAAAAGTGAAGGAGGTGAAGACTAAATGTCATGATGTCACTGCAGTAGTGGAAGTAAAGGAGATTCTCAAATCTTCCCTGGTGAACATCCCAAAGGACACTGTAAACCTTTACACAAACTCCGGCTGCCTCTGCCCACCGCTCAGTGCCAATGAAGAGTACATCATTATGGGCTACGAAGATGAGGAGCGCTCCAGGTAAGTCTTGCAGCATTATCTTTGAGGTGTTATTTGTTGTTTGTTCTCCTGTCCATAGAGATTGCGTGGTCACCAGCTAAGGCAAACTTTGTGACGCTCTGCATGGCACTGTAATAATATTCTCTACTCAGAGAGAGTGCTGAGAGCCACAAAGCTCTGCAGGCACAGAGGTGTGATTCTTGCATGTATTGGGTTCTGTAGGTCATGCACGAATGCTGTTTGAGTAACAATTTATCTCCTTCTATAGGTTACTCTTGGTGGAAGGCTCCATAGCCGAGAAATGGAAGGATCGACTTGGTAAAAAAGTAAAGGTAGGAAAATAGCTCAACAAAAGTCAAATATTGCAGATGCCATGGAACAGCTACTGAAGTTTTACAGAATGAAGGAAAAAGACACACGCTAACTCGAACTAATTGATAATAAGTATCAAAAATTAACATGGCTTATTACGTTGCTCAGAAATACGTGCCAAGTGGCGCCAAGTGGATAGCAGGCAAAATCTTCATCTCGACAAAGCAGACCACAGAAGTGTTCTGCCTTTGTGGTGAAATGTCCCTTCTGCAACTCGTATGTACTTCTCTGGAATTGTAACACTAATGAAAAAAGAGGGCTTTACAAGTGTTTTCCTGACTAAGTCAGAATTACACTTTTCAGATTTTAACATTCTTTAAACATAGTTAGCAAATTTTAAATATAGTTGACAAATGGCATGGGTTAATGACTATGCCAGATTTGTCTCTCTTGCTTAGATATGGAAGGTCCATGGTAAAGAAGTTTTGTATTTTACATGTAGTAGCCAACTGGAAGCAATGAGCTCAAATGGAAACAATACACGAGTGTTTTCTCCAATGTTTTCTAATTTTAGTGTATTCTAATGTCTTCCATGTTCTGGAAGGATTGCCTTTTTATGCTTTGATGCACAGCAGACTATTGGCTATTTCTACATTTTACACAGATTTCTCTTATTTCAAAACAATTTCTCATCTGTTGTCTCAACACAGTGGTTGTACTTGTGCAAACCAGTCTCTTCTGCTGAATGCTTTCTCCAACCATTTTAATGGTGACTGGCAGGAAAATATTGTTCTCATTAGAAATACAGGATTCTCAGTGTAAATATGGTACATCCACAGCGATTACATGAGTGAAAAGATATGGGGATCTTATCCCAAGCTGTTGTTTGATTTGGCAGAACTTTCTGAAGTCCAGTGCCATGGAATAAACACCAGGTTGCTGCTGCAGGCTGATCTCTGCTCGGTCCCAGTTCGGGGGTGGCAGGGTGATATATGGTTTCTTTCTTGGGAGCTCACATATTTTCTAGGTTATTGCACAGCTGGGATCGCCTTCTATTAAGCACTGGTTTCAGTCCAATTCAGTTGTTTTTCTGTCCAGTACTGGCTTCAGTATGCAGAGCATTTTTGTGGTAGGTCTAGAGCCTCAGCACTGAAGAGGCTCATAGATAATTTTTTTTTTGAAAAGCAATACCTAAACTCAATTTTTTTTTCCTAATCATGTGATACTTGTTCATTCTTGCTGTACTCTCAGCTCTTATAGCTACTGATGCATAGCATGTGTGGATAAAGATTTTTGAAGGTCTTTGTGCCACTATATCAATGACTTCTGGTACGGTAGTAGTGCTTGCATCAGGAAACCAGTTGAATAAATTCAAGTATAAAGTATAAAGAACGAGAAATTGCTAATTAGGGATTGTGGCATTCATGACTTGATAACTTCAGACTGTGTTATGTTATGGTGAGGCACAAGCTGCTTAGGATGCTGTTCCCAGTTGGAGAAGCCTGAAGATGGCACTTATCATCCCAGTCCCAGTTTTTGTAACGCGTCATCATTTTTTCCAGTTACATTTATTATGCCTTTTTGTACTGCAGTTCCTATTGCCTGGAAAAGAGGCATTTAAAACATTTTTTAAAAAAAGCACTTGATTATTTTCCCCAGCTTCCCCTAACGACTGCACAGGTGGCTTCATTTACATAAGCTTTTTAGATACTTCTGAAGACTCTGTACTGTGCCTTGCCATCAGCCCCTTCATTCACAGAACGTATTAAACCAGGCCAAGAAATGGATGCTCCTCTCTGTTGGAAGTAATAATTCTTAATAACCTCACACTCCTCCAGTGGGGCCCAACACAGGGTATTGTGGTGGCAGCACAGCAGTGACTGTTGTTGTTGTCTGTAAAGCCACCCAGTTACCGTGTTTATCATCATAATAGCATTTATTATTTATAAACTCCAACTTCTTCTGTCATCTTTTTGCAATTCCTCTGCTTTTCCATACGCAGCGCTGGGATCAAAAGCTCCGCCACCTGGGCAAGGCGAAAGGAGAGCCGGGACAAAGCGATTCGGCACCGAAGACCGGGAAGCCCAGCAATGCCCGGCAAGCTCGCAGCTAGATGAGAAATGCCCTACGCCAAAATTCAGTGGACTATCTGTCAAGACTTCACTGTTGGAGCAGCAAAGGAGAAATTGCACTATTGCACGTTATATTCTATTGTTTACTACAAAATAATGTTTTAGCTTATATTAGTTTTTATTCTCCCTCTTGTTTTTCTACCTTTTTTTTTTTGTTTGTTTGTTTTTGGATGTGTGCAAGCTCTGGAAATAATATGTTCTTTCACGTTACTAAGAAGTGTAGAGAACTGCCTTTGTGAGGTGCGGGAAGGTCAGGATATGCTGAAGTTGCCACTTTGACTCCCAAATCTTCTTAGTGGGTGTATCTGTGCAAGCAGGAGATCTAGTGCTGCCCATCATTAGTGACCCACACCAGCTGCCTTGGCTCAGTCCTTCTCAGCACAGCCTTGGTCACTGCTTGCAAACCTCCTTACTGGGCCTACATTGTTGTTTGAAAACACAACTGCCATATACACACACAGCTTAGAGTCACGTGGCGCTTCTGGAAAATTTATGAAAAGACAATTTTTTAAATTCTCTGGACCTTGTAGGAAACCTTACGTAGCTCTGCCACGGCAGGACTTTATTTATCATACATTTCTTCTCTTATAATGGCAGTTTCTTCTTTTTTTTTTTTTTTCTTTCTTTCTGCTGAGTTGTAGGAGTAGACTGCCTTACCAGGCCTGCTTCTCAGTACAGGTCTGCACTTTATCACTCTGATTTTGTGGTGTTATTCTTCAATCAGTGCCTATATAAGCAAGTGTTCAATACTCAGTAAAATACGTCCAATAAAAAAAAAATTGTAGTTGTCAATATGGACCTTAGCTGACATTTGAGCCAGCATCATATTTTTATATTGCTGTTCAAAATATAAAACCCCAAATCCCTTCCTTTTTGTGCTTTTATACAATTCTTTGCAGATAGTAATAACATGTTTGAAATTAAACACTCTGTTCTTCTGTTTTTCTTTTCTCTCTTGCTTGAAAGAAATTAAAGTGATGTAAATAAAATAACAGTTCTTTCCATGTAATATACAGAGGGGAAACCGCTCTGCTTATGATGGCTGTTGGGTTTTCGACTGAGTATTTTCCATAGCCACCTGTTTTCCTAGCTCACCAGAATGCATTTGGGCTGCCTCTTGTTAGCAAAGCAGGGCTGAAGTAGTTAAGTTGAAAATGTGCTGGTAACAAGTACATCCCGAAATATTTGGGAATATTTATAATAATGTCATTTTAAGATTACATTTAATAAGGAAGGGTGCTGGGGCAGGTTCTCCATCAAGCAGGATACCAAGTTGAAAGATAGACCTGTTTCCTGCAAAACTCAAAATCTGCGTGGGTTGATTTGTTGTTGCTGTTGTTGGGTTTTGTTTGGTTTGGTTTGGTGTTTTTTTTTTCTCTTAGATTGCAGTGGGATATTAAGTCTTCAGCTGGTTTGGTGTCTGCTCAGAATATTGCACAGGCTGGCTCAGAAATGGTTGGAAAGGCTTTCAAAGGACAAGCTGAATTTGAACAAAAAAAATCACATCTGGAAAGCTTGCTCTGGTGTATTTTGGACATTGTAGTTCGTTCTCATCTGCTCTATTGGTTGGTTCCTGGCTTTTTCAGGCATGCTGTCAGGTGTACATCCAAGCAGGTATCTGCCTGTGGTGGATGAGCACCACAGTGTGCACACTACCATGAGTATCAGAGCAGATACATCAGGATGAACATCAGTACTGCAGCAGCAAACAGACTTCAGGAGTGAGTAAACAGCAAGTCCTTTGAAACCCACTGCCAATATTATCTACCATATGTACTTATTGGGCTTTGGACTTTTTTTATAAAGCACTGAATAGCAGGCAGTTCATGAGAAGGAAGAATTGTTGCACAGAAAGTCAAGAAAACTACAATTCTGAGTAATCCTATTTCCTGTTGTGCTCTTATCCCCATACGCAGAGCTTTCTGAGGAAAGCTAAGAAGTTTGTAATTTTGCACCCTGCTTAATTCTCAATTAGAGACTAATCTAATCTATCAAGTAATTTATATTCTGTGATGTGAAAATGTTTTTGTTTTTCTCCTCAAATTGCATTGACCTTTGCCTTGTGCTGCCCCTAACATTGCTTCAGAACTTCACTGCTAAGAGGTAGCATTTAACTCAGATTGTTAAGGTCCTCCTCCCCAACTAGAATCTGCTCCATCTGTCTCTGGAAGACACTTGTGCTTCATCTTTTAATCCCTCTAGCTGGGTCAAAGGGAAAATAAGGCTTTCTGGGGACAAAAGAGGAAGAAAGCAGTAGCTCCATTCATTGAATAGAGAGCTGGTTTCTGATCAGCTTTAATGTTTTATTTGCTAGGCTTGAACTCATGCCCAGTCTTTGTGTAGTCAACAACATGATGACAAGAAAGTGGGACAGCTGTATTTAATGCTGTTAATCTCTGCTGTTGTGCATTTCCAGCAAGGACTGTGAGGCACAGTGACATCCTCTGAAGGTGAGTGAAGCTACTACTAGTGGTAGCAATCTGCACCAGGCTGGTGAGGACAGCTGGTTACCTCTTGCTCCTGTTCGGCTAGGAGAGCAGGTGAGAGGAAAGGGCAGCCTTGTTCATAGCTTTCGTGCCCATCCCACGGTGTCTTTGCTGGTGAGTCCCTTTAAATGGTCATCCTTGTGCTGGAGAGAGCTATTTTTCCTCTTTTTCCCAAGCTCTTCTGTAGCAGTATAGAGACAACATCTTTCTCCTAATCCTTAATTTTTATCTGCACTGAAGTGATTTCACGAGTCATCATCAATCTATTGTGAGAGTCTTTGTATCTATGGAAAGACCCACAGCATTTAGTTGTTTCATTTGAAAATATGTGGACTTGCCTTTTCAGAGGGTTTTTGGAGACAGCACTAAAATTGCGTAAGAGAAGTGCAAACAAGAAAGCATGTGTGACAGCCAGCTTATTGGCTGTGTATAATGTGGTTATGTTACTGGGTGATGCACATGCCTATGCATGCACATGTGACCAAGTGACATGGGATGTATGGAAGGACTGATTGAAACCATGCCTTTCCCACATCTGGGTTATATTATTCCAGCAAGCAAATACGCAGCCCCAAATCCCTGTGGATAATTAGCCTGACATGTTGCTTATCAGAAGGCACCCTTTCCCAGCACAGCTCAGCAGATGAGAAGATGGGAGTATTGAACACCAAAGATATTTGTGAGCCATGCCTGGGTTCTGATGGAGGTTCATTCGTGATGTTAATAGATCTTCACAGAAGGTGCTGGCGAGTTAGAAATAGCATGAAAGTGGCACACCTTCATTTCAGCCTGTGTATGATGATTTTTATCTGTAAGTCCTTCTATCAAAGCCAAGAGTAAGCAGAATCTATATGGTGAGAACAACTTCCATGTTCATGTGAATGAGAGTAGCGTGGTTCGTTTTTACAGCTTTGCAGAGAAAGAGTTCCAGGAGAAGTAGGAAGAATAAAGGCCTCTTGTTCTTGGAAAGTCCGTTCTCAGAAAAATGCCAAATCAGATCCTCAGGCTGTGTGCTGCCGAGGCTCAAGTGGAAAGAGAAAATGCCAGTGTGTTTAAAGAGAGGGTAAGATATGAAAGGGTACGACTGCATAATATCTCTCAACTAGAATCAAGTATTGTTTCTGTTAAATTTTTAAGATTTGGGTGCATTGAGCATGAGAAAAAGTAGTGGTTGAGTTGTAACATCGATGATGGAATGAAACACGGCTACACCAAGCTTAACTCAAGAGTGACTGTAGGGCCAGCTGGGAAGTAGCTGACTGCAAAGGACCCCAGCCTGGAGGCTGCCAATGTCAGCAAATTAAATTGCACAATGTGCAGAATGAGATGCCAGAATCAATATCCTGAACTTTGTGGTATAGTGTAGGTAGGTAAGTTAGTGAGATAGTAAGAAGGAATGAACAAATTAACATTATATGTACATATTATCAGGGCAGCTAGTGCAGCTGGGGATGCTTAAATCCAGCTGTACAGGAGAGATGTGCTGGCTACCATCGCTTTTCTGTTATGAAATAAGACAAATACCATGGCAGCTGGTAGTGCCTAGTGCAGTCCTAGTAATTGGCAGACAACAAGTTAGAAATTCCACGTTGTCTCCAAGTTCTCTGGCAGCACTGCTATCTTCAAACAAATGTGCTTTGCTTTACCTATAGTGCAGTGGAATAGTTCCCCATTCTATAGAAATCATTCTTCAAATCCTCAGAGAAGGGCTTTTTTTCCCCTCTAAGGGTATTAACAAGATTATTCGGTTATTCACTTTAGACAGTGGTGATGGAGCACTGAGAAGCGCAGACTGGTGATGATTGCTGTGTCCCATGTGACATATGGCTAGCATTTTCTTTCCAGATCTGTGCTTTGCAAGCCTTCAGTAAAATGAATAAAGAAAGGAAAGAAAACAAAATGTAAACATCCCTGAAATGCAGTTGCCCTTTACTGGTGATAAACAAGAGAATCAGATACATCGAAAGCATTCCTGGATGTCTGTCCTGGAACAACTATGGATGGAGCTTTCCAAATGGCCAGTGACTTTGATTTTTGGATCATGCTGAAGAAATTGGTATAGATGCAGAATTATCTCAGCTATGTTACTAACAGTAATTTTTTTTTAATGGGAAGCTTCTGGGGTTATGAAGTATGGAAGATGAAGTCTTTGGCAGGGAAACACAGTATCAGGCTCTAAAACTTCCTATCAAAGTGAGAACCTGAAAATAGGAGAGACAGGATTACAGTTTCTCAGGGAAGATAAATTCATTCATTCCTGTGAGTACTTGTGAGAACCACTGCTGAAATGCTGTGCAGCTGACAGCTGCAGCTTTAGTAGCTACTGGTGAAGGTAAGGAGAGCAGTTAGAAAAATCAGGATCCCATCAGTGAAATAAAGAACGTGTTTCTGTATAACTAAAGGCAGCATCACACCACTGCAGATCAACAGTGGACTGAATTTAAGTGTTATCAATAGCTTTACATTTAGGACTTTCTAAATGTTGAATGCTCGTCAGAGCAAACCTGACATTCCTGTAACAAAGACTTAGGGCTTGAAGTAGATGAGCTGAAGAAACGTTGGTGGCATCATCCTCTATGGTCTGCTGGGAAGACTGAACCTATCTGTCCCTGTGTGGAGAAGTTTCTGTCCCCGGGAGTGTGTCTGCTTTCGGCCTTCTCTTTGTGCTGCTGAGGTGGGGCAACCTGCACTACTTGAGCTCCAGACTGACTCTCCCTAACTGGATGTTGGCCACCATGACACGGAAAGCCAGGATCCTCGGTTCCATGTTCTGGTCTCCATCCCATCAAGGGACTTCACAGATAGAAAGTCAATCTGCTCTCCATGCCGTCAACACTTCCCAACCTTCCCCCCAAAACCTTGCTCAGCCATCCCATCTGACGTTTCCTGAGGCCTTCCTTTCCAATGCAGGCTTCACTCTTGTTCACT